ATAAAATGCCTCGTTTACAGTAAAAAGGGTTTCCGTTTCTCTAAGCTTACCATACGAAACACAGCACCATTAAGCTATCTACTATTTTAAGCTGGTATTCTCTGAGAGCGTGGTCCTACCCAGGCCGAGCCGACCCATTCGTGCTGCAACCACAATGTAGGGGCAGCATGGCTCTACCACGTAAAAAAATCGTATGTTTGTCACCCTTATGTTATAAAAAACAAAATTATTACTGCAGCAGCATGACTTAACTCCGTAATGTATAATAATATATGTATTTATCATGATTCTTGTATTAAATACATATTGTAGGTGTGTACTTTTTTAAAAATATTTCTTTTATTATTTTTTATTCTAAACTCCCTTTGTAATTTTAAGCTCTCTTAGTAACTTCTACTGGTAACGTTATTCTGGTCATTTTCGACCACTGATACATCTTCAGAATAGTATCGGTACCTGACGATCAATTACGCTGAACATATTATAGTGTCGATTTACCGCGTGGCTGCGTCGGAGGAAAACCTCATTTTTCATTGCCAAATAAATATGTGACCTTGAAATTATCGAATATTTTTATGTAAGTTACGTTATGACAAATCATATTGTTAAATCAAATGCCAGGGTCTGAGATGCAAGCTGAGCGGAGTTAACTATGTAACTGTTTATACAACAAAAAATAACATTATATAATTTGTTAAACATTAAACATTATGTTAAATAAAACGTTATTTTTGTTGTGATTAAATAAATAAATAAATAATTGTAAGGAAATCTAAATGTCGAAATACGTTTAAAAAGAATGGAAAGAAGTGAAATTGTAAAAGGTAAAAACCATGAATACGGACAATCTTTCTTATATCTATGGAAAAACAGAAGAGACCTTTGCCCGGAATCGAGATTTGTCTAGTACCTACCAATGTTACCCTAATCTTATTTTATTACTTAAGAAAACGAAGAAAGTAATAACTAACTATTATCTACTTGATTGTTTCTATTAGTTTATCAACTTCTTAAATGAGTTCTCACTTACAACCCAATAATAGCATCGTAATCCGTTCATTATGAGTAATTTCAAGAATTACTAATTCCTTTTATAATTATATAGCCTTTTCCCACATAAAAATAGTATGAAGATCTTTTTGTTGGTTTAAAAAAGTGATGACAAAAAGTAAGAATAATGTACAAATAGGACCCTTTTATTGCAGGTGCCATGAGCTCAAGTGCACAAGCGATGCGAATATTTCTCGCATGGATTGACTGGCTCCCGGTACGTCGGTGGCGTGAACCATTGTTGCGACTGCTCAAAGATGCCGCCTGGGGCGCTTTTGCTTATAAATGAAAATCAGAAATGTGTTTTATAACTACTTGACATTTCCATCTTAAACATTAAAAATACTTGTCTCTTTAATATTTTTTTTTTATTATTTTGATATCGAAACTCTTAATTTACTAAGAGCAATTTATGGGGGTAACCAATAGTATCCCACTACTACCAATATGGGGTCGCCCTATGTTTTCGCCATGGATGATATACATATATGATATATATATATATATATATATATATATATATATATATATATATATATATATATATATATATAACACGGACATAAAATCACTGTGTGTAATATTATGTCACTGTAGGGTTATTTGGAGATAGTTTATAATAATTTAAGAGATAATGAAACTATCTAATTAGTTGTTGTGCTTCTGCAAGATTTTTAACGTGTATGAAGTCTTTGTGTGTATGCTTAAAGAGGTTTTAAGGCCTTATGTAAGTCGATCAAATGCGCAGTCAGGCGCATCACGAGGGTTCTACCGCCGCGATCCTAACAGGTCACAATAGTGTATGTTATAATGTTTATATTAAGTGAGACAACTGTGAAAGGAGATTGTTTTGATATGTGATCACCGAAAATGATAAATGTTTACCTTTCAGTAATTGATTTTATGTGAGTTAAACGTTATTTAAAATTTTTGATATTTATTATAATGTGATAAATATTCGTAAAGTTGCTTTTAAAATAAACATAATAAATTTCATTAAATATTAATTAAGCTTTATACCTACCATAGAATACCTAAATTATATCTATTAATAACCATAATCGTGGAATTTCAATAAAATATTCTTAGCTATAGAAGAAGTACTTGATCTTATAAAAGATTTGAAATAACAGCACATAGAAACTGCCGATACACGTTATACGTTCTGGTAAATTAAAATTCCGTTAGAGGTATTCAGATGCAGCTAGGTATTCAATTTGCTCAAAAAATTTACCTCTATGTAAGAAAAGTAGAGGAGAAATGCTTTATCGTTGAGGCCTTTACAAAATATTAAACAACCAAATCACGAAATACCTATAAATGGTTATGGCAAGGTTTATTTGTTACAATCTGTACTAAATCTGTACCTGCGTGGGAGGCCTATGTCCAGCGGTGGACCTTAATGACATGACAGTCTACATGATTGAATGAATGAACCTTCGCAAAAATAATATTTGATTTGGATGGTTAAATAAATGTAATATATGCAGTACAAACAAATAATATAAATTATTCTGTATAAATTTGGGAAAACATGTGGCTTACCAACAGGATTACTGTGAGTGCTTTTGCTGTAGGTAGGTACGGTACTTATCTGTAAACCCTCTCAAAAAGGAGCAGAGGCCTGTGCCCAGGAGTGGGATATACTATAGGCTGTACCTTTACTGGTACTTATAACATAAAAAAAAAACAATTTTTAAAATACTTGTCTGTCCGTTTGTTCCGACTAATCTCCAAAGCGGCTAAACCGATTTTGACGAGACTTACTGGCAGATAGCTGATGTTAGTGATGCAACAGACCTCTGCTTCTGTATCCGCAACTGCAGAAGTTCTGCACGCTTTTTGACATCTATTTCTGCTTCTGTTTACGCAACTTTTATAATGGAAATTTGATCGGAACGAATCCCCAAAGGTGCCGAACTCAAATTATAAATAAGATGATAACATCATTACAAATGTTAGAATCCATGTTGCACCAGTAACAAGAGTGACAATCTCTTTTACAGACGTAATCCACCTTCAGGAGTATGTGGTGGAAAAAAAATGAAATGCACATAAATATCGTAATCCTTTGACGTTAGTTCGCCAAAATTTATCACCAGTGAGTCACCAGTGAGCAATTATTTAGCGAATCTATTCTATACATGAAGAAAACTGAAACAGACTTCTAGATGTGAAAGCGGATAAATTACTTTTCATGCTGTTCCACGCGTGCGAAGTCGCCGGGAACAGCTAGTACAATATAACTTTAATTTCATACCAAACTATCAAATACAATAATTTAACAATACACGTGAACAATAATATAATTTATGTTATTATTATTATACTATGTACTTATTACAATGCCTTGTTTTCTATTCTATCCGTTAAAATTGTATTCGTTGTGTTAAATGTCGTAAGATAAGTCATAAAAACACAATCAAACTATAGGGCCGTGTTAAAAAGTGGAAACCACGGACAAACTCGCGCCATGCAAACATTGATACAGAGGTTCCGAGAGAGAGAGAATTTTTCACTTGGGAAGTGTTTGTGTAAACATAACAGAGTAAATAGACCTCATAACACTGTGAACTGCATGTGTTACTGTACATCATTAATCCAGGCGTCATTTGCACTGTCTAAACAAGCCGCCTAGAAAGGAATACAGTTAGCTGTAGACTGTGTCTCCACCATACAATGCTTTTCAGCGTGCTTGTTGATGCTTAAATATATCTTTGTATTAAATAACCCCTGGAGTGCGTATTATCAATTTTTGAGATGATAAATTACAACCGTATATTGCGAATGATATGTCTTAATATACCATAGCAAATATTGTGTTGTGAGCATCGAAAATATTTTACCTTGTAGCATTACAAGTCTTTTATTTGATAAACCCTTTTTGAATTTAAATCCAAAGCTATAAGATTCCAAATAGATCGTGCATAGTCGAGCACCGCTTACTTGGAGGGAAGTGGATTGGTAGGCGTTTCCTTTGATGGTGGTACACAAGTTATAGTCACGATTGGGCCCCGTGAGCTATAAAGATAGAAATATAAAAATGATGAATAATTATTATTTAGATTTTAACTAACATTGTCTTTTCTATAATTTTCTTCTCGGGGCGCACTGTATATAATAGTCATTACGTAACTAATCTAACTTTAGATTATATTTCAATGGTAGATACTTTTCATAATAAGATATATTGATTCAGGACTACAGAACTATTAATAAAAATGTATTAAAATCGTTAAACCTTAGTACCTATTTAAATTATTAGAGTTGCCTGCTATTTATTTCCTACAATTACATGTGTCAATTATTTTATAATCGACTGTTATTCTTATTGTAGTATACCTTATCATAAATTATTGTTAATAGTTTAAATTCAGAAGAAACTATTGATTTAGGCTGTAAGGTATTTCGTAAGAACTTATAAAAAATAACTTATAATAATAAGTTGAAGCCAACTTCAAAGAACTAAAAGGAATAAAATAATCCTACATTCTGAAGTCGGCATCTACTAAGACATTAATTCCACTTTATTGTTCGCCTTTTAATTTGATTAAACGTTAATTTTTTTTATCCCTTTGAGTGCACTTAAGAATATCACGATCTCATTGTCGTCGAAAAAATTACATTAAAAATCATACCCTATTTTTCCACTATTTGAAATGGAATTTTTTCTCCAAATTTTCAAATAACTGAGTATAAACTTTTTCATTTAAAAAATCTTCTAAATCGGTTCATAGTTGACAAAGATATCGTCTAATACACATTATACAAACAAAATCCAAACAGTCGAATTGTAAATATCTTCCTTTTCTCGAAGTTGGCTAATAAAAATGAAATGATTAAATATTTTTTGAAATGGATAAATTGATGACTTATAGTCAATAGAGTCCTCAGAAACAGTTATAGTAGACTTTTAATATACAAAATATGAAATATAACACAACACTTACATGACCCTGGGCGTCCATGGTATTATTCGTCAGCTTGAGCTTGCTAAAGGACACGGGGTTAGCCGTCCAATGATGTCCCGGTGCTGGCGAATCTGGGTGCAGCATCAGGCGCCTGGGGGACTGTGGCTCCGCACCACCGGCGGCTGCCCACGCCCCACCCGCCCAGCGCCAGCGTCTCCGCCCCACCAGCGACAGTTCCAACAACACGCAATATTCTTCGCGCGGGTCGAGACTGCTTAATGAGATGCGAAGGGATGGAAACATGCGGCTGTAACAAATAATAAAAATTTGATACAATTGCTTTTAATTTTTGAAAAGGTAAATTTTAGAAAAAATACCATTTCTCTTATAAATAATAAGATTTTCATTAAAATGTATATTTCAACAGACTTCAAAATGACGAGGTTCTCAACTTGTCGGTGTATTTTTATATAGTGATAATTATTTACGACGTTGTTCGATTTTAACGATTCTTTTTTTGTGGCCAGTGGTGGTCCCATATAATGTGGTCAAGTTTTGATGATGAAAACTATGGGAAAAATCATCAAACTCTTCAGTTTGCAGACGCGTCCGCACGACCTATGTACTAATAATTATTTTACTATATATTATTAAGTAACGCCTTAATATATATTTTCAATAATACCAAAATATTTTGTATTATATACTACAACCCAGCTGTTTAATTAATAAAACGGCCTATTAAATACTATTAAGCACATTAACTTTACGCAAAAGTTATTGTATCAATTTAAATAAAAAGCGATTGCAAAACCTTATAATGTACTTAGTAGTTAATGGATACACCATTAAGCGAGAATGAATTTTTTTAACGCTATCAAACAATGTCGAAATAAAATAAAATCGAAAATAGAGACACGAACAAACATAACAGACAATAAAAGATACCACTGTATCGGCTCTAAAACAAACGTAACACAGAAACAAAGAAGGCGATAATAAAATTATAGCTCCTATAAGGCCTGCGCTGCGCTCGTCTTTGTCACAATGGTGGCCGGGTGGAAGATGTATTGAACATTTTATCGTGATTATAAAAGCATGTGATAGGAGTAAATGTGTTGATCAACGAGGGCTTTTGGCACCCGTTTGTTCGGTCATAAAGCGATTGTGTCATAAATGTCGAGATACACATGGCGCCGGTGCTTATCGACGCGATGGTCACCGCCCGCCGGGGTCGCCGCTCGCTTCAATCTCAAGATACGGTTCTTTTCCTTTTTAATCTTGTTACATTCGCCAATAAAACATCATTGATGTTTTACGATTTACGTTGACCATAACTAGTTAGTAAATAAAAGATTTAAACACTTTTTGCGTAAGCCTATTATTAATAATGATAAGCATAACAACTCTAGTAATAACTTATATAGAATCGCCGCTGGTAACAATAAGGCTGGTACGCCTAAAAGCTACAAGGTACTCCTTTTACTTATTTTTGCCGGCAAATAGTAGTGTTTGTACTGCCATGTTCCGGTCTGAAGGGATTAGATTATACGTAGTAGAGCCACGTTGCGGCTATATCACTAGTATAATTGTAGCAGGAATGGGTCAGCTCGACGGGGGAAGAACCACGCTCTCACAGAATACCAGCGTAAAATAGCAGCTTAACGCTGTTGTGCTTCCTATGGTGAGTGTAGAGAACCGGAGAACCTTTTTACTGGAAACGAGGCTATCCATCTTAGTCCTCACGGGTGACAACGCATCTGCATTTTGATTCGTAATCGAGGATAGATGTAGATGTCTATGGTCCGCAGTAACCACTTACCATCAGGTAGACTATGTGCTCGTTTGTCGCCATTATCCTATAAAAAAAAGAGCAATTGTAATTACAGCTGTGACGTATTCCATTTTAGTTCGTATGGGTTATAGAATATGGGTGACAAACGCGCACAAAATCCATCCAACGGTAAATGGATGCTGTGAACATATACATTTACATTTATCTTTGATTAAGAGGATAGAGTAAGTCAGCTCAAATTCTAATTTCGCCCCCACTTCCCCCGCGCGTCGTATGCTATGTACCGACATGTTTGTAATCACTAATACTGTAAGTAGAAAGGTCGTTAGACACTTATTTCATTAGGTTTATCATATTTATGCCTGTTTCTTAACGCCAAGCCAGTCGCTTCTTATTTTTATAACGGTTATTTCCCATTTTAATTTTACATCTTCCTGTTGCGTAATGTGTATTCTGATCGTAAGCGACACAACTTCTCCCTTCAAAAGCCGGAGCGATACTAACGGTGCGACAGGAATCAAGCTTCAAGACGCCGATAGTTTAGGTAATTTCTTTTTACAGTGAAAATAATGGTATTTTAAAAAAGTAAATAACATAAACACTGCTTTATAGTTAGTTCAGTTAGTATGCAAAGTTTCATGATCTTATTTAAAGTATTTTATGAATAACAGCGGTTTATTGTTTATTTTGGAGGTAACTTTGGATTTTTTTTTTCTATCGAGAAAATTTTACGAAATCGTGTTTTCGTCTAACATAATCCTTAACATTAATCCTCAACTTTACCATATATTAATTTCAAAATTAATGCTGCAATATTTTCGGCATAACGAAGGATCTTGCTAAGCCATTTGACGTTATATTTCCCCTTAAGAATCGAAATGCAGATGTGTTGCCATCCCTAAGGACTAAGAGGGAATTCCTCGTTTCCAGTAAAAGTTATATCCGGTTCTCTACACTCACCATACGAAACACAGCAGCCTTAAGCTGCAATTTTACGCAGGTATTCTATGAGAGCGTGTTCCCACCCCTGTCGAGGCGACACATATGCGCTACAACTAATACAGCTACAACTTTGCCCTACCACGGATAAGTAATTATCTTATTTCCTATATGTTCTTGCTATGTGAAGAATCGATGCTCCGGGAAGTCTGCAGTCTGTGAACACGTACAGGATCGCCCCCGTCACTACATCAGATTTGATAGACCGCAGATCCTCGCTAAAGAACACCGATTCCTTCCAAGGATGATTCGCGAGGCTATTGAAATCAAAAAACATCCTAATTTCAATAGAGAAGATGGCTGGGTGCTACCATCTGCTTGGGACCTTATAATAAATAAAATTAAATCCCAACCCAAGCATACAACTGAAAGACTTCAAGATACCATAAGTTCATACTGCATAGATCGGAACAAAAGTTAAATTTTAATCTATGGTAACCGCGGTTAACTATGACATATGGACGTTGAACATCTCAGTCCTGCCCGTGACCATGAGTGCTGTAAAGCGTTCGAAACGTCGGGTATTTAAAAAGATAAATATACGCGATAAATTCCGTAAAAACTAGTATTATTTTAATATATGTCAGATGTAAACATCCAGACCGGAGACACCGTTAGTCTTCAAATAGTGGTAGCATCTAATTTATGACGTATTTATGAGTTAGATAAATGGGAAACTAGCAGATCAAACGTGGCAGTTGATACAAATCCCTTCCAAAATTAATTAAATTTTGTATTAGCAAAAGCCACCATGATTTATTATCTCACATTTATAGAGCTAAATAATTTTACTGTAGACATATTGATAGGTACATTAGCATCCACGTACTTTTGTCTGCGCGTCACTTTCCACACAATCCATTACTATCGGCGACTCCTCTGAGCGCTCCATCAGTCATAACAGGGCGCGCTGTTATCAGGCAGGCTGCGGCGGCCGCCGACCACGTTAATGCAACCCGCTGATAAGCCACGCCGACAGAAGCTCAATTAACAACACACTAAATTAGCCCCCATTTAAACTTTACGAGCGCCGCTACCGCCTTACGTGAGTATCGATCCGGTAGCGACTGAGTGAAAGATTCGGTTAGCTAAGGAAAATGTTTTAAAACATTAAAACAATTAACGTAATGCGGCCATAACATTTGAGATAATACTATTTCTTAGAGGATTAAAAGAAACATTATTAATTGTGTGACACTTTTTAGGTACTGAATTTAAAAGTTGGTTAGTTATATGAATATCTAACTGTAGACTAATACTCGGTTGCAGAGACGGATTTTAAATTTTAAAACCGACATTAGAGACTACTGTGGCAAAAATCATCTTCTGAATAAAATTTAATGCTTCTTTAAATTTAAATAATGAAATGATAACATTAAACTAAACAAATCCAGAAATTAATTAATTTATTATTACGTCAGCAGTTACGATTGTCTTTATGAGTAACATACAAAAGGTTCGCGAAAAAAGCAATTGCGTACGAGAAAAAAATAGGCTTGGACATTTAGGATAAAAATAATAATTTTCTATAATTTCGCACAATATGAAATATGATCTTATGTGCATAAATATTAATGGTAAAAATATGTTATTTTAGTTGAAATGCACGTAATTTGAAGTCCTCATTGATCTTACGAGTATCAGATTATATATTATATTATATAGTATATAATCTGGGCTATGAGTATTTACTTATGAACTTTAACAAATCTTTTTACGCTCATCTACAAACATGTCGAACGGTCAACTTAAAAACAAATATGTACTTTCTATGCTAGACTAGTGGCGACCTCTGTTTTGTTGACTGTACGAGAAATCCCTTCCAGGGCTACCGTCCGAGTCTTATCACTTACTGACCACTTATCGCCTCGTTTGAAGTCGCCGACAAAAACGTGACGTTACATGGGCGAAGTTTATGCGAATAAGGTTTTAATACGCGAACATAAAAAGCCTATAACAAACGTTCAAGCAGCCTACCAACGTTGGGTAGTGCGCGTGTGCGTGTGGTCCAATGAAACACGGTTTTGCGCATACTTGTACTCTCAGATAACACTAATTGAGGTAAGATCGGCAACAAAGTTTAATTCGTATTTTTTAAATAAATATTTTTTATCTACTAAAAACGTTAAGAGTTTACCGTCGTACCATACCATACCGTCGTCTCACGCTACATCGTATTATACTACAAGTACGAATGGGTCTTCGAACGTGAAATAGGAGTATATTGCTCCTGTATTGCATATAGTCTGTGAGGATTCAAAACCCGGGTCGGCTCAAAATTATTAAATTGGCTTTTCTGTCAATAAATTCTTAGGAGTCACAATTTGGTAGTGTTTTACTTCGGCAAGCATTAGCCTCGGAAAGCACGTTATGCTATTGGTTCTGCGCCTAGCCTGATCTCTTTCTGATCATGTCGGATTGCTGATCCATCGGATTATAAGATTGAGGAAATAGAGAATACATCTGTGTTTACGCACACACTGTCCTACGCAGTTTCCTAGTCTCCCTTGAGA